TGGAATGATGAAAGTGGATAAACTATAACTTGTCATTAAGTGTGTTGATAGTTCTGGTAGAACATTTTTCAAGCTGAACGTTATACTGTAATGAACATGTCACACTGCCAACCTCTGCTATTTGTGTCAAATGAACAGTTGTTTAAGTTAATCAAATACGGACATATTCCCATTTCATCTTATATCCAACTGTGGCTAACGAATTATTTGTATATGCCAAAGCATATACATATATATTGGAAGAATAGGGAGAAAGGGTATTCTTCGCATCTCTGAACACATACCAAAACAAGAAACTGAAGCAGGATTACGCTCCATCTATTGGATAGTTTTGGTAGAATTCAAAATAATTGACAGGATAGAGTAACCCTCTCGGCTACCTTTCACTGAAGCAGTCTTCATCAAAAGATTAATACCAAAGCTGTGTATTCAGAGGAAGGTGACAAGAAGACAACCTGCACTACTTTGGTTTTTTATACTTACAAAAACAGGTATACAGTTTTTATTGCATTCTATTGAACTCTGTTCTCCCTTTATTTTCCTACGTATTCATGTTATTATCCTGTAAATAGTCATCAATCTTCTGAACACTTAATGATTTAGCGAAAATATTAATTTAGACATTTGGAAAAAAGCAACAAACTGAGTAGAGAATATCCTTTTCGATAACTTCATCTTCTGGTTCTACAATTATGTATGTATATATGTTTATATACGGAATGCGGTAAAAAGAGCATTCCCTGCTGCTGAATTACGCTGTGTCTTCCAAACCACCCCTTTTTGCTTTCAGGGATAAAAGATAAACTGCCTGACTTCTCCCCTTCCACGCGTATCTGCCAGTTTAACAGCTCCTGTGGAGCCGCACAGTTAAGCGTGCTTCTCGTCGGATTTCCGAAAATCACCCTGCGTGGTTAAATAAAGGATAAACCAAAATCTATTCGTAGTGATACCCCATCTGATCTTGTGGATACAGAGCACAAGAGTGATGTCAGCGAGGCTTTCAAAGTCATTTACTGCATATCAACAAATCTTAACTTCACCTTAAGAGTTTGTCTACTATATATTGCTGAGGCCATAGGGATCTACATTAAGAAATATAACTTATGTATCCAAAACGAGTTGGTTCAAACTCTGTCCTGAACTTGGCCATCAAGGTTCTCATTATCCTCAGTTTATTGTAGAAATTCCCCTATTTTTATTTAATATTCTATTTACTATTACATTTTTATGCTTATTATAATTTCTACATCTTCAGCGAACTGTAATTCCATTGATCTTACTTAACGAATCAATAGTATTTAAAAACACGAATATTGTTAGTGATGACTATTCTAGAATATTCTATGTATGTAAACATCGATCTGATACTCACTAGCGACTGGCCCTATTCAGGTAGTTGACCTGGGGTTCTAGTGGAAAGAGGTGACCAGTAGGGTGCAGCAGGTTGAAAGTGAGGCAGTAACTCATCGAAGAAGACATTGCGAAGTGGTCACGCTATGTCATGAATTGGCAGTGATTAGAATTCGTGTCCCATTGAACCAGGTCCTAGTATCTCAGTAGTCTACGAGCTCTCTAGCCTTGTAACCAGAAGGTCCTAGGTTCGAACCGTGGCGGTGGGTGCGTACTGCCGAAGAGTCGCAAACTAGAATGAAACAACTGTCCAGTACTCCAAGATAGTTTTTCAATGATTCTCTAACAGATATCAGTTGATGATGAAATCCTTCGATCAATCAGACAAAATCTCTACAAAAACCAATACTTGAAAATATATATAATTAAAGAGCCAGAAGAGAAATTTATCGAAAAGGATGTTCTTTGCTCAATTTTTTGTTTTTTACTTAATTACTCGCATTTTTCTGGACTTATATCAGTTACTTATCCTATCGTTAACTCACTGTTAGTATAATAAAAGTTAGTTCAAACCCTGTTTTTTTGTTTATATATTTGGTTATTGTTTAGATTGTAATTAGTCGATGAATAGAATTCACAAAATATTATAAATATTGAGCTTCTATTATCCTGCAATATTTGTTGTTCTTGCTTTCGTCAACTTTATCAATTGGAAGAATTGTATGAAAAATCACGTCTTTTCATAGCTGATACAATTTATTAGTTGTTTAAAAATATATCATATCAAATGAAGGGATTGTGTAGATTGTGGGGAAAATCTATGCCGTCTGGTAACGATTTCTAAAATATTTCCCTTTGATTCTGAAGATCAGATTGGAGACTAAAAAGGATCAGCAACATGGAATCAAACAAAAGCTTATTGACCAACACATATGCAGCATGAAATGGAGATGAACTGTACATACACACACACACAAGGTTTTCGAAAGGAACCTGAATGGTAAGTGACGAGATGGGCATGGGTATTGGGAGGAAATAAATGAAGAAGAGAGTGTTCATGAGTGAATAATTGTTTATGGGGGATTGTGGATGGACTACAGTGAACAGTGTAAAAATGGCGATGTGCTCCTAAAGCTCTATGTTCCACTCATAACTCAAGGGAATAATAATTATAATTTATTAGGTATTTACTCAAGCTTACAATCTTTAAGGGTTTAGAAATAAACCTTCAGGAGGAAATTTTAAATTACTTTTATATCCTGTGAAAATATTGTAAGCTATTCTTATTTCGTAAATGTATGTATTTATTATTGTACAAAAAGTTGTAGGCTAAGGTCTATTGTTTTACTTTCACAGAAAAATGATGTAATATACGAATTTAATTGGGGCATGGTGACTAGCAGTGGAATCCAGAGCGCGCATTTCGTCCTACTTGGGACTCGGCAGCTGGTTGTACCTGCATTTCTCAGCGAGTGATGATATTCCCACCGAGGCTCAAACCCAGTGCCCATAGTTTGAAACTGAGTGTCAACCTGAGACCAAGCACTTCGTTCCAATCAGTTGACGGGAAAATCTAAAATTAAATTAAATTAATATGACCCGTTGCACAATAGGTGGCTCTTGTGGCCCAAGTGGTCTAGTGAATAAAGTTTTGGCGTGTGAAACTATGATCACTGGGTTCGAGCCTCGGTGAGAACGTCATAACTGGCTGAGGAATGCAGGTATATCCAGTTGACGAGTCCCAAATAGGATTAGATATAATAAATGGTCTACGGATCAATAATAATCGTCTACATGTCAGTACTGTGCTTGAGGGTGACAAATCAAACAAACCAGTGATTTTCTTTTCGAAACTTCCTTATCAAGATTGCAGATGCTGGTGATCCAATTACAACTGCATTTATCAGACAGTTCAGTTTGTCTTTAAAAGTCAGACATGTAGATTTTAGACAAATTTCAAATATTTTGTAATGTCTTCCATTGATTATTAACATTTCACTAAGATTCCTGTATCGTTTTCAAGCTATATTTCATGATATCAAGTGAGGTGAACATAGGAATACTAGTGAGTAGAGAAATCACATCATAACTAGCTATAATTTCATCTCCTTCAATAGTAATATGCATCATTTTCTTCTAAAATCCTCAATGTTTCTAATGTTAGAAGAAATATTGTATTGAAGTTATTTCAACATTTCGAATGTATTTTGATAAGCTGTGTGTTACTGGATGGAGTTTGTAAAAATCAATGATTAATCTCAAAGAATCATCACTTATGTACATTTTCAATCTTCTATGAAATCTGACGGTTAAGTTAGTCATAGGGATTATTGAGAACAAAAGAGGAGCAAAGTTAAGACATCACGTCCCATGAGATGTGACCGAAAAAGTGACCTTGAGTCGACCAATCATAAAAACGAGTTACTAACACACAAAATATGACGTTTATTTATAAAAACATGCGTCCCAGTTATCATGAGGAGTATTATTTTTTAAGTTAGATCAGCTTTTGTACATGTATTTACCGAGGTGGATGGAAATGAGCTTTGCTGTGACCCGTTTATTGTTCTTATGCTGTTTTGCGGCTTCTCCCAAAAGCCTTCACTTGAATTACCATGATTTCCAGCAAGAGGATCGACGATTACTTACTGGGAAAATGTGGATAATAAAACTAATTAAAATAAATATTACCAACCCGAAACCTAACCCTAATCGTAACCCTAAGCCTAATTCTAACAAGCTATTAACACATTATCCAAACAGTACTTAAAAACGTCACGGGGGGGATGAAATTTAGACCTTAATTTGTGAATAGCGTTTACATTGACGCTATAATTATTGCAAGTCCCGTTATCCAACGACTAGTAGGCGTTCAATGTCACTGGAATTATCACACTCCTAGGATATAATACTTTAACTTCGCCCAAATTGAATTTCCCAGTTTCGGTTTTAATATACAGGTATACGAAAGCATTTATACATTGTGATAACCAGTGACATTTATTGATTTGGGACAAATACTTATCGACTGGTGACCCTTAAACATATTCACTTTACGTTACGTACTATTTGATCATATAATTTGGTGTTTAATAAACTCCGAGAAATCCCATTGAAGAAGGTGTGACTTACACTGTGGAAAGTTCAGAGTAAAAATCTTGTCTTCATTTTCCAAATATGCTAGGATTATTTTGAATGCTTTTATAATGTTTAATTCTGATGCGGTTCCCAGAATTACTCCAGGAAACTCATAAACGTGGTTTAGATATTTGTAACAAATAGAAATATGTTTGAATTCAATGTTTTCAAACAAGCAAAAAACCCCTCCAGTACTTAGATCACTGAGATAATCCAGGTAGCAAGCACTACTGCTTCATATGAGTGGTATACAACTACTCATCTCGATCTATCAGTAGTACATAGCTTTGTACAAAATTTGCTTGTTCTTTTGATTACCATTTATGGTATGAAGCGGATCACATGCTTGGACCTGAATAATTCGCTTTCTAAAGCAAATTGGGGCAAGATTTTACCTCTTCTAACTGTGTACACTGAAAACTGTGAATTAATTTGCAAATCGTGAATTTCATCTGTGTATCAAATTAACCGTTTAGCTAATTAAAATGAAACGCAGTTTTTGTCTGACTTACAAGCTTATAAAATATATATTCCAACAAAGATTGAAATTCTTTTGATAAAAAATCTACAATTATTTTAAATTCAACAAATATACAAAGGAAAACGACGAATGAAATTTCATTTGAAAAAAAGGTTTATTTGTCTATATTGTTTATTACACGATACAGCCAGTAGTTATGCAGAAACTCTGTGATTGGTTAAATTAATGCAAATAACATACTGCACATTTTTGTAATTAGCCAATCAGAATTCAGGCCAGTATGTTGCAAATTATTGTAGAAGAAATTTATGGCAAATTGAATTGATGGTGAAATTTGAAACGACTGGCTTAATTTCACTGTGTGCATAACAGATGCTGAACGACGAATTGACAAATACGAAGGTTATATATACATCATGATATGGTATTAAGATCACTTTGATGATCTGGTCAGTTGGCATTACTGTCTAATATAAGTGCTATTAAACTACTTAAGTCAATCAATCAATAGTACATAGCGTCATGCACTTATTCTTGCTTTCTTGATTACCACTCATGGAATCAAGCAAATCATAAGCATTTTGGTGTCAATAATTTCGGTTTCAAAAAGGAAAACGTGCTGAAATTTCATCTTTAACTGTGTTAATCACAAATCGTGAATTTTCAGGGAATGATTGGCAGGAATTTGGTTAGCTGTATGTTTGGCCACGAACTGACATCAGCTAGGGAATCATCTGGAAACAATGGAGTACTTGACAGTTGTTTCGTTTAGTTTGAAACTATTCCTCAGTACTCACACATAGTGGTTCGAATCCAGGATCTTCCGATTGTAAGGTCAGCTTTTAAACCATTAAGCCGCTGGGACCTGATTCAGCGTCTTTAGAAATAAAAGGTCATGGGGCCGTGGTCGCTAGGTGAGTACGGACAGAGTCCTGAACCGGGACTAAATAGCTGTCCCAGTGCGTGAATTATTCGTAAATTGTGAATAGTGATAAGGTATTTCGATGATTTTCTGTGCTGCAGCCTAACAGTTATTGCTTAAAACGTTATGAATACACTAATATGTTTTGCGAAAATAAGAAATCTCTGATTTAAAGAGAATAAATTAATTTCAGTGTTGATTTCGTAACTAATCACTGTCAAAACAAGAATCGTGTAAAGGCGAAGTATGTCGTCGAATACAGAAGAGTCTCTTGTGAAAAGACACGTCTATGTATCCACCAACTCCCGTTGTTTATGTTTTTGAATCAAGTGAAAAATGGGGTGATAATTTAGGAATAAATAGAAAATACCTCGATGAAAATACTAATAAGGAATCCTTTTAAAGATCTGAGACACTTACAAGCAAGCCTAGATTCTATTTTAAACACACAGGAAGACATTTGATGTACGGCGGATGTGGTTATTGAGTTTTCCTTAACTGTATTATTTAAATTTTTGTTGCGGTATTTTTCATTTATTGTGTTTACGTGATATAAACACTTCTGGTGAATACAAACTTCTGAGTTCTGTCTTGTCCATGTTCTTGTGGCATTTACTAGCATCCAACCAGTTCGAACAACATTTACAAATACTTATTGCAATATTCGTTGCTGCAGAACTGATTTCTGTTGAAGAAGAGAAGTATGTTAGAACTGTATGATGATTTCGTGACAAATTGTTTAAAGGCCCTCAAATTATTCCAGAAAGTTCGTAACACCTATGGTCTGGAAACTTATAATCTTGTATGGTGATTTGTTCTATTAAGATACACACACTTTCAGCAACTGGAAATAAATCATGAAATAAAGTGGGCCCATTTTATTCTTTGGGTCAATGTTTGTTCTTTCTCTTCTGATGTATAAGAATTACAAGTGTATAATAAAGTGGATGGATGAAGTCAATTAGTGAAAAGGCCTGAAACTAAGTCCATACTTCATTTGGATTCACTGGAATGTCGGGCATGCGAAAGTGTGTTGGATAATCTGAATTGTCAACACAACAAACTCCACTGAAAAAATTTATTCACTGCTAGTGGCTAGACAACACGATATGGTCAAGGAATATAATCCATCGCAAATCTCACTTACTGCCTCTTTGTTGCGGCATACTTGTATAGTTAGAACGGAGGCAGTCAATTATGACTTGATCTCCCTAAGGTAGCTGATTTTGTATTAGGGGCCTATGTGAATGTTTTAGTCATGTCTTGCTATTTTAAAAGTATTTCACCAAAATGTTTCTGCCACTAGGGAAACCTGCTGTGGCGTTTGTTATAGTATGCACGCCAACACTTTGATAGCTTTTATCCTCACTTCACTGATCAGCTTCGTTTCGGAATATGTAGTCCTTGAGCGCGCAGACGCTTCGATTTTACTAAGACTAAGAATTTTAAGTTACTTGTGTTTTTTCAGGGTGGTGACTGTCGTCCTACTTGGGACGCCTCATCTGGGTGTACTGGTTGCTCAGTAAGTTAAGGTTTTTTCCACTGATACTCGAAACGAGCATTACTACAGAAATCCAGTTTATATCTATTAGGTCACTTTATTATCGGTCATGTTACACTAAATGCATAATATTATTATCAATAATAATAATCCAATATATGTACGCAAAAGTGTTGCAAGCATCACGATTTAACTTTATTACCCTCCATGTTCCCTCTCCCATTTTGTCTACTTTTTTCGCGTAGGCTATATATCATTACTGCAACGTCTGAATATCATCTGCTGGCTTAATCGTCATTATGTCTCTGTTCCTGTTTAATCTCCAGTTTTAATGCTCCTCTTTGCGATTGTGCGATAATGCTGATAATGTGTTTTCTTGCGATTTGATTTGTTTGAGTGAATGAAAACTACCCTGACCATGGGCCTTCTGTGAAATTGTTGGTGTGGGATTCTTGTGGACACTTTTGATCCTACCTTGTTGGAAATATATTCTATTTTATTCTAAAGCACTTGCTGCAGCAGAATTTTTGTTAAATAACCTTGTCCTAAAGTACTTGTTTTGCACCAGGAACTCTCTAATGACAATGTTGACGTAATTTTCGGTTTTCGGCGTTATAATCGTCGAATATATAACCACAGATTTTACTACTGATTACTGCCTTTTTGCAGTGCTGGAGCGTTTTACGACCGTACGTATCTCAAGGAAGTTTTCTCCAGCTATGCAAAAGAACACAAAGATCGGTTCCCTGAACTCAGACCACAACGGATCGCTTTTGGTCGTTACGGTGATGATCAAATACATGTACTTATGTACGCAAATAAAAAGCCTTGAATAAAATATCCAAGAAAACCAATTATTTAGGCTTCCTGAACGACTTCGAGCACGCTCCAAGTTGGTTTCAATTAGAAATGACGCTTACGATTGATGTGTAACCGCTTACCGTAATAGACCTGAGCTCTGGCTATACTACCTGCTGACACTTTAGTTTTACCCACGTTACCTGGCGTCTAGGCTATTCTTAACACCGCCTAAACTAGTGAAGGCAGAATATATTTCAACCGTAAAATGAGGGAAAACACAGATACCCTCTGAAACTTGTAAGATGTAAAATCATTTAGTTGAATCTTTGGTTTTAAACATTGCCTTTGAGTCGGACGTGATTCAAATATTAAATGAAAATGAGGAGCGAAATCCGCAAAGAAAAGAATTGTTATCCATTTAAAAGTGCTAAGTTCAGTTCTCTTACTTATAGCAATAGTTTCTGGAATGGATTTTCTTCTATACATCAATCCGTTTACAGATAGCTCATCTCTATTTCAGTGCTCATTCCTAAGTGAATCTGAAATGACTTTCCACTGACCACATCCCCAAGAATTCAGCAATTTCCCGAAGACGTCGCAACAAAAAAACGCTGAAACATAAATTGAGTACCCCAAACGAATCCAATTTTGAAACTCATTCGTAGTTACTCTTCGCTCTTCCCCCTGCATCTCTTCCTTTCAGCCTGCCCTTGTCTGAGTATCATATCGGAGTTCGATTTTCGATATTCCTAGCTCCACTTTCTGCATTTTGTTAAAAATTACATTAGTAAATTTCATTTTTTTCGACCTTCTTCGTTTCAAACACAGTAATTTACTACCTTGTTTTGAATAATTAATACTGAATTATCAAAATATTTAGGCATTTTTATTTTCATGTCGCCCCTCCCTAAAATCACACTGCAGAAGAAAATAAGATGTTCAACTTTACTCAAATTACGGCGTATGCGAAATGCGACAGTTGTGAACCCACTCATTGTATTTGTTCTCCTAATGCCAATGAAAAATCAAAAAAAATGATGTGGTGATTGAATATTTCTATCTCTGTATTGTTTAAATACTTACTGTTGATTGTTAATATTTCTTATATGAATTGCATTATAATTCCGCTAAATACAAATTCCTGAATTCCGCCCTCTCTGTGTTTTGTTTGGATTAGTGTAATTCGGTCATCTCGAAATACTAATACTACGATTACAAATAATTACACTTCTGACGTGATTATCCAAATACAGTATATATCTTACAATGAGAATGTTAGGGCATTGTTGATTATTCCTCTACCTAGGGAACGTACACGAATGACCGAATGAAAATTGACAGCGTATCGAATCCCTTGAATTTCCTTCTGAGAACCTCTAGTCTAATGAATCGACCTAGATAGCGAAGTTCAGAATCTGATTTTGAGTAATGGATGGTGTAGGCTAACACACTTTGTGGAATAATTTGCTGCTATAATCCTTTAAAGGAACTTCGTTCATCGAAAATATATATGGTTCTACATAGAGACAACTTATCACACTTACTTCTTACTTACCTATTGTAATTTCACGATATTCTTAGCTGGGGTACCGATTTCTAACGATAAACAAAGTATGTTAAAATGTAGTAATTTATTGTAATCGTAATATTAGTATTTCAAGATGACCGAATTACACGAATCCAAACAAAACACAGAGAGGGCGGAATTCAGGAATTTGTATTCAGCGGAATTATAATGCAATTCATATAAGAAACATATCAACGGTCAACAGTAAGTATCTAAACAATACAGAGATAGAAATTGTCAATCACCACATCCGCCACACCTCGAATATCTCCTCGCGTATTTATAACGATGTCTCGGTTTGCTTGCAAGTAGCTGCGACCTTCTAACTGATTCTGTGATATTATTTTCATCAGTATTATCTGGACTTATTTCTGAATTATTTCATTTATTGTCACTTTGTCCAGGTGTCCGTTATGAAATGAGTGATCTTTGATGTCTAATATCTTCACCACTCGATTTCCCATTTTTTGTAGTATGAGTCCAACAGAAGGTCTATAGTCATTCCCTTTGTAATAATGTACATTAGAAGTCGCGGACATCAGATGCTTTCTGAGAATTCGAGATTTGAAAAGTTTTGCAGGACTTTCACGGGTACTTGTATGCTCTGCATTCGACAGACGCAGTCTATGCATACGCAGTAATTCCTCAATTTTAATCAGTTGCTCTCTCATCTCATTCAGGTCTTTTCGTGTTTTCGACAGTTCACATTGTAACTCAGCTACCTCATTTTTGAAAACAGTTGACACTTGAGTTGCTGAACTTGTAGTGGAGGTTTTCATTGGATTAGCTTGAGTATTTTGAAAGGTTGAAAGACACATTGACTCCATTTTACTAGACAGCTTGGGAGAATTATAAGAATGTTGAGCAACATAAGTATTCGAACTTCTGCAAACAGTCTTGATGTGTCCAACTTTACCACATGTGTGACACTTAGCACCCCGAAAACGGCAAGTGCTTCGTAGATGTAACTTTCCACAGGAAAAACACGGTTTAATGTTTTTGATCTCTGGCTGCATTCTATTACCTGTGGACGGCAGTTTGGATTGCTTTCCATGACCACTTGTATTTTCGATTTTAGAAAGCATAACATCAGATACTGACGTAGTGGGAGCAGAGTACTCATTATTGACATCTTCATATGTAATACATAAATCTTTGGCAGTTTGAAAAGTACAAGAAGGAATCTGAATTAACTCTTTCTCTAACTTAGAAATATTGATTCCAGCAATTAGACGATCACGTAGTTGAGTATACAGCTGATCTCCAAAATTACACTTTGAAGCTTGTATTTGGAGTTGAAGAATAAAGTCTCTAATTCTCTGGTTGGGAGCACGAACCAGTTTATTGAAGTGAGCCCTCTCTCTGGTCTCAAAAGTAGTTATGTGGAAGTGATCTATAAGAAGTTCACGGAGCTTAGCATATGGCAGAGAAATTGGTTTTTCTGGAAATGACAGAGTCTTTGCTAGGCTATATGCATCTAGCCCAATAGCAGTGATGAAATGTGCTGGTATTTTGTCATCCGGAACATTCTTGGAAATGCACCACGCATCGAAGCATTCCAAATAATCAGTAATCTCCCGCGGAGTAGCATTTATAGGAAGTTTTCCCAGGTTATTTAGTTCCATCGCGACGCCAATTTGTAGTAATTTATTGTAATCGTAATATTAGTATTTCAAGATGACCGAATTACACGAATCCAAACAAAACACAGAGAGGGCGGAATTCAGGAATTTGTATTTAGCGGAATTATAATGCAATTCATATAAGAAATATTAACAATCAACAGTAAGTATTTAAACAATACAGAGATAGAAATTGTCAATCACCACATAAAAGTATGCAATATCGTTTTTACGGGCTAGTATAAACCAATTTGATTTCTTTGTGCTCGCTTCTTGATTGGAAGGTATAGGTTCCTGATCTTCATTAAACTTCTGCGCAGCTCGTCTCGCCACTCGACAGTCGTAGGTTTGGTTGACTTCAAAAGGAGTAGTGCTGGGATTAATTATATTTGGTTTGTAGTATGAGGTGTGTTAAGACTGTTACTACTGTGAATGGAGTTGATCCTTTCACCAGTTAGTCCTCCGGCATCATCGTCAAAAGAGAAGAGATAATAATAATAGATATAATTAGTGAAGTTATTCAGACTGACAGACAGAAAAAGAATTAAGAAAAAGTAACAACAGTCAGCTGATTAAATTTGAAGAATAGTACGAATATTATATATATATATATATATATATATATAATAGTATATTCTCATTTTGTACATGAGAGACGCCAGTTTACAGGCATCATCAATATGATAAATTACATATACGATTAGCAATCATAATTAATAATAATGTTTTAATAAAATACACATTTTTTCCTACTTGTGTAGGACACACCAAATATACAGGCATGGATAAGCATTATATAAATTTCATAAATTTGGTTCATGGTTAAGTTACATGGTTGCTGGCGTTTTTGTCTTAGGTCTGTGGGAACAATATGATAACCAGTCATTCAATGGAGCACGTCATGAAATATAGGAATATTATTATTATTATTATTGTATCCTTTAGTTCCTAGAGGAACATAGGGCTTCAGCTGCGCACCTCTATTGACTTCGGTTTTCTGACAACAATTTGTCACCCTGCTCCAGGTCTGTCCACATGCTTTCATCTCCTCCTCGCATGACCTCCTCCAAGTCACCCTTGCACTGACGACCAACTCGCCGCCTCCCTTTCGGGTTCCACTCGAGGGCTTGTCTAGTGATGTCACTTGATGGTTTCCTCAGCGTATGGCCAATCCATCTCCATTTCTTTCTGCCTATTTGTTTCACAATCGGTTCCTGATTGGTTCGCTCTCAGAGATCCCTGTTGCTGATCTTTTCTGGCCATCTGATCTTGAGTATTGAGCGGAGACAGTTGTTAATGAAGGTTTGAAGTTTGTTTGAGATGCTCTTTATGACTCGCCAAGTCTCTGATCCGTATAGTAGCACTGAATTCACATTGGAGTTGAAAATCCGGATCTTATTTTTGATGCTGATTGCTGTTGACCTCCACACAGATTTGAGAGTAATGAAAGCTTGTCTTGCTTTTCCGATTCTGGCTTTGATGTCCTCGTCAGTTCCGCCTGTAGTCGAGACGATGCTTCCCAGGTAGGTGAAGGAGGTTGTTTCTTTCAGGTTCTTCCCATTTATGCTGATTGTTGTCTGTTGTTGTTGCTGTTGATGTTTTCTAGGAATCTTCATCACCTCTGTTTTATCTATGTTCACTTGAAGTCCTATCTTTGATGCTTCTTCTTTGGCCAGCTTGTTGCTTTTCACTTGCATATCTTCCAGTTTGTGGGAAATCAGACATATATTATCGGCGAAGTTCAGATCCTCCAAGTCTTTTGTGTCAGTCCATTTTATGCCTGTTCCCTCGTTGGTTGCCGTTGTCTGTCGCATTATCCAATCAATTGCAATCAGGAAGATCATTGGTGATAGTAGACAGCCTTGCCTCACTCCCGTCCTCACTTCGAAGGATTCCGTAAGTTTCCCGTTGTGGATTACTTGGCATGCAGCATTGTCGTATAACTGTTGGATGAGGTGTATAATTGTCGATGGGACCCCGTAGTAGCGAAGTAGTTGCCAAATGACCTCTCGGTCGACGCTGTCGAAGGCCTTGTCATCTTTGAGCAGTCTGGTGACTGAGGAGATGAACACTGGAAGTGTGTTTGCATCGCGCACATTAGCTGGTAGTCTATTCCAAATGACTGAAAACTTATTTAAGAAGAAGTTGTACCGCACGTAAGTCTGACAGTGCTCCATAGCAGCTAGGTTGTGATGATTTCTAAGATTGTAACTGATGACAGCGGTAGGTTTAGTTATTGGCTCGGAGGAATGCAAGAGAAGATTAGTTAGCTTATAGTAAAAGATAAGGTTTAGCTTAAGGCGTCTTTTCCAGAGGGGTTCTAATCTTAGTCTTACGCATCGCTCATGGTATTCCAGACCACTTTCTAAACCAAGAGTTCTTGAGGTAAACTGCCGTTGCACTCCCTCTAATTTAAGCTTGTCATTTTGTCTGAGTCCGCTAAGAATAAACGGGCAGTATTCTAAGATAGGTCGGACACATACTTTGTATAATAAAACCCTAGTTTCACAACAAAAGAAATTGCGTGTTATGCATCCTATCAGCCTTCGCGTTTTACGTCTGGCATAATCAGTCTGTTCAGCGAACGTTAGGTTACTAGAGTATCTAATACCGAGATCTACGACTGAGTTGAGCTTAGCTAGTTTTCGCCCATTTATTTCAAGAGTTAGATCAAGGTTACTGTTGCCGATACAAA